AATTTTTTTTTTTTTTTTTTTTGCGCAGTACTGGAGATTGAATCCAGGGCCATCACACTGAGCTACAGATGTTTTTTAATTGTTTATTCTGAGCTAGTGTCTCGCTTAGTTGCTGGGCTCAAACTTATGATCCTCCTGCCTTAGCCTCCCACAGTTCTGGGACTGCAATAGTGCACGACCACTTTTTTTTTTTTTTTTGGTACCAGGGATCAAATTCGGGACCTTGTGCTTGCAAGGCAGGCAGTGCAACCACTGAGCTAAATCCCCAGCCCTCTACTTTTTGTTTAAAGTTAATTTATTTTCTTAAGAGCAGAGTGAGGCCATAACTTTGATTAGTGCCACTGCTGGATATAACCAGATAGACCAAACCTGTGGTTCCATGCTAATTGCTGGAGTAAACATCCCATGGTACAGTTGTTTCTGGGTACTGTCATAGGTTCTCTTGAGATTGGAAATTGATCTTCCTCAGATTTCTGACAGGTAGAAAATAATGTGCCATTTCTGGACTCCTATAATGTGCCTGGCACCTCTGTACATTTTCATTTAGTCCTCACAAGAACCCTGTGGAGTAAGTACTGTGATGACCCTCATCTCACAGGTAAGTAGCTGAGGCCCAGATTATATACTTTGTCCAAGGTCAAACAGCTGGGACTGGAGTGTGAGAACTCTAGACACATCTGTCTAATGTAATAAAGCCTAGAAGTCTGTTCCCCTCACCACACTGTCCCATGGGAAGTGTTCCAGGCTAATAGACCAAAAGCCAGAATAAGTAATATGTCTGTCCTAATCCAAACACTTTCTCAACTGGAAAACTCAAATGCTTGATGTTCAGAATTCAGAAAGTGTGTCTGAAAGAGGTGACTTCTAATGGGTAGGATGTGTGTTCTGTCTCCCCACCACCACTCCTGGGCTGCCGGGAGGCTAGTATGGGGTCAGTAAACCCAGAGAAATGGCTGTCCTACTGCACAGCAGTGTTCCCAAGCAAGGGACTGGACAAGTCCTCCTAGCTTCAGGGCTTTGCTGGACCTGATTATTGGCAGATCACTAGCAGAGTTTTTACCACTAAGCTAATGAACAGCTGGCTGAAGTTTCTAAACTAGCTTGTGAAGGACTGGCTGCTGTAGTTGACAGAAAAGGAATGCAGGTCAGTTCCTGCTCTCTGCTCTTCAGGTGCCCCCCCCACCCCATAGGAATTAATGTCTTATGGCTGCTGGAACACAACGCAGAGGAGAGGGGAGCTGAAACTCTCTGGGTTTTGCAGAAAGAAGCAAAGCTGCCTCACACATTTGACAAATGAAAATCCAAGTTAATGTCCCCATTTCTGTATAAGTATGCATCACTCCTACAAATCATGAAATCCTCAAGCTTCTAGGCTGGCTTCCCAGCCTGTGAGCTGATGTGCTCTCAGGGACTAGCAATAAATTTTAGTAGACACCTGTGCAGAAAATAATCCAGGAACAAAATCTGCCACTGACCCCCAGTTGTCATATAATTTTCCCATAGCAAAAGTAAATTCTGGGTTCATTTGCTTCTCTGCTTCCTTTCACCAGGGAGGTGAATTTTAAGTTGTTTTTTTTTTTTTAAACTACACATGATGATTTTTTTTTTTTAAAGCCCAATGTATTTGTCTTTCCCTCCGTACCATTTACTTGTGGGGAGCTGATCTGAGCCATGCCCCAGCAGGTTCAGGGGCTATAAAATAAGTGCCGTGGGTATTCACTTTTGCCTGCCTAGGTGAGAGATCATTCAAAGGCTGACTTGGCCCCTGGACAATATAAATACAATGGTTCTAATGATAGAATATCAGCTCCTTGAGTGATTTTTTTTCACCAGAAACTTTGGCAGAGCCTAAAACCATGCCAAGTAGTCCTGTCCTGTGCAGAAGGTTGTCTCAACCTCCACGTTATTTATGAGGCTCAAAAGGGGTAGAGAAAGGCACCGATTTGACCAGCTGGTGCTAAGTGCTGGTCCCAGCTGTGCAGACACATGCAAGTGAGGTCGCTGCAGTTAGCACCTGGTTTTCTTCCTATGGAAGTCCCTCTGAGATCAGATAAAAGGTATAAAGACAGGTAGAAAAAGATAAATTGTATTTGTAAAATTCTACTTCAGGACACATTCAAAGTTATTCGAGGCTATACTGCCTTTTTCCCTTCCAGGGAACTCACTCCAAAAAAATTATAAAGAATCTTAAAGATATCATAAGCCTGTAAAATGGGCCTGTGCTTTTTACCTGTAAACTGAGCTTGCATTTTTCCTCCTACGTGAGAGATACACAAGTTCCACAGACTTCCACTACCAAGGAAAATGCAAACTTTAAATATAGGTAGATGATTTGCTCCCTAACCTTGCCCATTGACAGGTAACCTGACAGACACAGGAATACACACCCTACATCACCACCCTCAGGAGCACATAAATACTGCCAGCTCTGGTCCTTAATGGTTCTCAACCTACAAGCACCCATACTCCTCAATGTGTACTTCTTTGGACCTAATAAATCTCCTTATGCCTCACACTGACACATCCTGAGATTTTTTTTGTGTTGGAAGTTAATGAATCTGCTAACTACTCCGGGGCAGGGGGGCAAATTGAGGTTTCCATCTTCGCTCTTCAAAAACCTCCTCATCCTATCCAGTAACAGAAGCAATACAGCTTTTATGGTGAAAGAATGGGTAGTTGCAATTGGCTTGGAGAGAAATGTGAAGAAACTTGAAGTTAACCAGGATCCTTTTAAAATCTTACCAACTAGGCAGGTTGAACTACTCCTGCTAGCCCTGTATATTCGTGTCTTTGGAGGCACTATCCCTATCACATTAAACGCCATGATATAACCCGTGCCACACTTAATTCTTATTTTACAACAAAACAAATTAGTAATTTGATTTTATTTATTTATTTTTGGTTTTTTGAGACAGGGTCTCACTATGTAGTTGAGACTGACCTGGAACTCACTATGTAGCTCAGGCTGGTCTTGAACTCATAGTGATCCTCCTGTCTCAGCCTCCTGAGAGCTGAGATTACAGGTGTGCACCACCATGCCTGGCTAGTAATTTGAATTTTAAGTTATCTTTTAAATATTTGGTCATTTCTTGGCAGTCAAGTATGTAAGAGTAAAATTGTCATATATGACATTATTGAAGTTGACATGTTGCATACTACAGATATTTAAGGAAATAGTAAATTTCAATCTTGAAGAGATTTTTCTTTGAGGGCTCAAAATATGTTTTTTCAGGTCCCAAACAGAGCTGTGTCATGTCTGGCGGGCCATTTCTGCTGTGTCTGCAGAGCCTTTTTTTTTTTTTTTTTTTTGTAGCAGGGATCGAACTCAGGTCCTTGTGCTTATAAGGCAGGTGGCAGAACCACTGAGCTAAATCCCCGGCCCTGCAGTGTCTGTCTGTCTTTCTTTTTTTCTTTCTTTTGAGACAAGGTCTCATTGTGTAGTTGAGACTGACCTGGAACTCTCTTTGTAGCCCAGGCTGGTCTCGAACTCACAGCAATCCTCCTGCCTCAGCCTCCTGAGTACTGGGATTACAGGAGTGTCCCACCACGCCAGGCTTCTGCAGTGTCTTTTTGATGGAAAGTCTCTAGCTACCAGGTGCAAGGGAAGTGGGCATTCCCCAGGGAGTTGGGAAAAGGGTGGGCAGGAAAACTGGGTTGGGTGAATCCACTGTTACAAAGTCTATATTCCCAACATGGGAATCTTCACATAGACTCATCAATTTTACAATAATGCTATTATTTCCTTCAAACCTCCCTGTCCTGCCCAAGAATATTTAAACACAGACTCTAAAACAGAATTTGCAAATATTTTTTATTCATTTAAGAAAACTTTCTTTTTTATGTTGCATATTTTCAATATTTTCCTTACCAAAAATCTGTACTGATGTGGTAATTCCCAGTTTTAGAAATTCAGAAAAAGTACAGCAAATGTATTGGTGGAATGACTGATCTTATCAGCTCTTAAGTGTATGTACTAATTTCTCTGTTCCTGACACTGTTTTAAGCACTTTAGATATTCATATATAAATCCTCACAAACGCTCTATGGTATAGGCTTTATTAACCCCATTTTGCAGCTAAGAAACTAAAGTACAAAGATATTAAATGACTTGTCCATCATCACACAGCTAGAAAGGGGGAAGACTGACTTTTTTGTTGTTGTTATTTTGGTACGGGGGATGAAACTCCAGGTCCTTGTGCTTGTGAGGCAGGCAGTGGAACTACCGAGCTAAATACCCACCCTAGGACTGACTTTGAAATAAGGCCGTCAGTTCTGTAAGCGTGGGCTCATAATTATTCCCACTTTTACTATTTTTTTGTATGACCACTACGTCACATCACTTTGTAGATACTGCTGTTATGTAAGAAGCACACTAAATTA